AAACCAGGAGTGGTGGTGCATGCCTGTAGTCCCAGATCTACAGTGTCTGAGACAGAAGGATCACTATGAGTATGAGCTGCGTAGTGAGACCCTGTTCCAAATTAATTGATTAATTAATGGTGATTTAAAAATTTTTAAATATCTTTTTTTAAATGTATTTCGTTGTTTCAGGGTCTCATTTTGCACTTCAGACTCCTGGTGATTCTCCTGTTTTCAGCCTCCTCAGCACTGGAATTACATGCATATGTCACTATGCCCAGACTCTGGCTGGCTCAGTGTGCCCCTGGGGTGGGGTTGGCATTGCATGTGGTGCCGGTGGTTGAACTATGATCCCTGGAATTGCTGAAGCTTGCGTAAGCAGGTACTTTAGTCCACAGAGCTGTCTTATCTGCCCTATGGTAGTGTGTGTGCAGTTGTCTTGTAAGTTTTTGGTTGAATTATTATTTAGGGAAGATTTATTTTTTGTTTTTGATGCAGAAGACTGAACCCAGGGCTTCCAGCTTGCTAGGCAAGCATTCTATCACTTAGCTAAATTCACAGCCCCAATTTTTTTTTAAAAAAGCAATTTATCTATATTTAAATAGCTGAACAAATGGTCTTACTTAATTTCATGTTGGTAGGACCAAATAACCAGCACCTAATAGATACAGGAGGAGACTTTCTTCCTTCTACAACTACAGTTTGTAGAGTTTCCTTGTGCTTTCCAGGCTCCAGTGTAGGACAGGCCTGCAGAAAGGTGCAGCAGAGAAAAAACAACTCATGGCATGAAAGACAAGAAGAAGCAAACCTTCCTTCTTTCCCTTTCTCTTTCATCTAGGGCCGGGTAGATGGCTCAGTGGAATAAGCACTTCCCTGGCAAGGGCAAGGGCCTCAGTTTAATTGAAGGTTCTGCCAAAAGAAAAAAAAAAAAAAAAAAAAAAAACAAAAAGAATAGAATCATCTTGGTTCCTAGTCCATGTTTTTGGTGCTATCGAGATCTAGAGTGGGTCTTCCTTATTTAGTAAATCCATCATCCACACCGAGAACTATGCTAAAGCAATCAATGGGCCATCACACCCCTGTTCCAAGCACTCCCAAAAGCACCATGTACAAGCACATGAGATGATACAGATACAAACTATAATACAAGTTGATTAAAATATTGTTAACAAAGTGGGAAAGTGAAAATGGACTACAGAAAAATATATCTGCACATTGCATAGCAGGAAAACACTAACTATGTTATCGTATAATATAACAATGCTTACCTTTTAGTCCAAGAATGGCTTCATTTTTAATGGTAAAGTAAACATTTGAGCTACAAGCTTCTCAAATTGTCACTTAATCACATACTTATGTCTCTTAATATTGTAGAGAAATAAGATGACTAGAATGCTAGCTTCAGTTTATCGTAAAATACTCTTTTAGTGAAAGACCCTGTGCAAACCGTTGGCTTAATATTGTAATAATGACATTGTTAGATAACATTTCTCACAATGTTTATATCTCAGGAGGGATCTTTACACTTTTATTCAAAAGGAGATATGCAAAAGGAGATATGAATAAATATTTGGAAATAACCAGATATGAAAATTCATTTAAGAACACAAGATTACAAAAAAATTGATCAAGGAAGTTATGTTAGCAAAAAGTAGATAAATCCAGGTGCACAGTAAAAGCCAATTTTAATTAGAAAATACTAGTGGCACATTAAGAGAAAAACAGAAGAGGAGAGAGAGAGAGAGAGAGAGAGAGAGAGAGAGAGAGAGAGAGAGAGAGAGAGGAGAAGAGAGATTGTAAATACAAGTACAAATAATTATTTCCTTTTCATCCCATCAGGATAAGTTTTGAAAAGGAACAGAATTGGTATAATCTTGCAATCTTCCCAAGATACTTACCAACTACAAAGTGAGAATGATTTTATAATAGAGAAATATGAATGACAACATTAACTAAACCAAATGATCAAAATAATTATCTCTAAATCTGTCTTATCAGTGTCCTAAATGAAAACCTTGTTTATAGCAAAAGAAAATCTGTCACCAGGGGCTGGCAAGATAGTTCAGTGGTCTAACTCACCTGTTGAGGCGAGCTTAGGCAGGCACAGGGGACTGTACCACATATCATGCCAGCCCTGCCCTCAGGGGGTGCTGAGTAGGCCAAAAAAAAAAAAAAAAAAAAAAAAGGAAAACAAATCTGTCACCAAATGTTTTATAGCATATCCTTTGGATATTATATAATGAGAATCTCAACCATGGCTTTTGAAATAAATTAGACAAAAAATACTAAAGATGTTATATTTAGAAATGTATTAATGTCACATTTCTATAGTTTTAAAAATCAGAATATTTTATATAAAGTAAAATTGCTGTTATGTGTTTCATTTGCTGTTCTTCAACTATAATTTATTTTTTATTATAGATGGATTTTTTTTTCTATTTAGTGTAGGGTCTTCAGGGTCTCACTACAAAGATCAGACTTGTAGTGACCCTCCTGTTTCTAGCCTCCTAAGCACTGGAATGACAGGCACATGCCACCATGTGCCCTCTCAGTCTCTTGTCTTAGCACATCCCAGGGATCGAGCTCTGTGTCTGCCTAAGCATCATTTACTTTTCAATAGCTGGACATTCTTGTCACTCTAGATATGCATTTTCTCCTGGTGACTGTTTTCTTAAGTCATGGTGAGCTCAGAGTGAAGTACTTCCGAAGGACTTTTTTTTTTTTTTGGTTGTCTCAGAGTGCCTTCAGGGCAGGTTTGGCTGGCTTGAGTTCCGGGAATGGAAACACAGCAACCTGAGCCTGATGGCTTTGTTTAAGCAGCCACTTAAATAGCTGAGCTGAGGGGCGGGCCCCCAGAGTGAAGTACTTCAACTCCTGAAATAAAACTTTGTAACTGTAACTCATTTCCTAAACAAGGTAATATACACATTTAGTCATTGAGCACTTAGTGGCTTCTTCCTTTAAATTATTTAATTTAGGACATAAAGTTAAGTGTTATCTATCTTGTATTTCAAGTGAAAAACTATAAAAATTGCAGAAAGAGAAATTTAACTGTTCATGTTATACCATCCTGAGTATAGTAGCAAAATCATCTAAACTCCAAATCCCTGACCCTTTCATGTGATGACCTAATGGATACTAAATAATGAAATATTGTTGCTACCAATAGAGTCTTGAAAAGTTGATAAGTTACCTATTCTTTAGTTTACTTTCTCCTCATAGCACTCTGGCATTAGTCAACCTTACAGCAATCTACTGTAGAAGAGAAAACCTCAGTTTCTTAGCTGAAAAGCAAGATCTTCTTTCCTTGTCTCATAACTGACTTAATTGTTCTGCTGTTGGCATAAAACTTGTGTCTTGAAATGAACATTTCAGCTTATGAAAGTTGTGATATTTAAACAAATGTAGGATTGGTTTGTTTAATAAAAGGAGAATGAGTAGGGGCTGAGGAGATGGCTCAGTGGAATAAGTGCTTCCCTGGCAAGCCCAAGGACCTGAGTTCAAACCCTGGTTCCGCAAAAAATAAATAAATAAATAAATAAATAGAGAATGAAGAAAATTCACATATGTTGAAAATGTGAGAGAAAATAGAAATTCTGAGTGGTTTTCACTCAGAGAGAAGAATATATGCTCACAAGCTTTGCCTGAGTAGAATTTGTCAGATTTTATTCTGGAGAAGTTTAAGTAAGTGAATTTTATAGCAGTTGTCAACTGGGCTCCATCCCGCTGAGTTTGGTGTGTAGAAAGTAACTTCTCTTTGAACTCAAGGTCAGCCTCAATGTAGCCTTAAACATCAAGGGGAGTCCATTTGATTCTGCACACACCCAGGGCTATTGTTTCTATCTTCTTTAGCTCTGTCTTTCTGCATATTCCCAAATGCCACTACTAATAATAACTCACATCACCTATTAATAACACAAATCAAACAAAGAATTTCCAGGCAAGACACAAAATTTCTAATAAAAGCACTCTGAGAAACAAATTTATTCTGTAAACTGTGGATTAACCAATGATTTTAAATCAGCAGTTAATATTAACCTGGCCATAGTTTAGGTACAATTGTTTTGTCAGGTGATCAATGCTCAGCCTAATAAGAATATTTTGATGTTAACTGTGACATGAAATTGACTAAAAATACTGAAAAAGGAAGACTCTCCCTGGGTGGAGTAATACCATCCAATCGACTTGCAGACTGGATGGAATCAAAAGAGAAATGGAAAGACAAAGAGTAGTTGCTTCTGTTTCTCTAGCAGACCTTCTGTCTTCACCATCACCTTAGTACATGTTGCCAGGGTTCCAGCACAAACTCTCAACCTTGCAATGCAGAATCTTAAGCTCTAAGCAGCTGACTTTTCAACCTTTCAGCACAGATCCCTTGGATTCTTGATACAGACTATCAGAGGCCTCTGTAGGGGGCTCAGTCTTTGAGTTTGATCTTGATCATTTAGATCTTCTCTGTGTTGGCACTCCTTTAGATTTTTCTGCACTTGACTCTCCAGGCAATTAACCACTCTAAGCTGATCTTGTAAATTCTCTCTCTCTCTCTCTCTCTCTCTCTCTCTCTCTCTCTCTCTCTCTC